AACTAAGGATCTTCATTCCGCTTCTTTTTACAAACCCCTTGCCACCTACCCGCTACTTTCCCCCTTTCCTTCTATCTCCTTTTACCTCGAGCTTCTTGTCTCCTTCTACATCTCTCTTTAGTCTCTCTACTTCACTCAACCTCCTCTTCTTTGTTATGATCTGCATCTTCCTCTTCTGTAAACTTTCTTTCAATTCGTTCCTCTTCTTAGATATTTCTTTTCTTCAACCTCATATAATCTCAGTTCCTTCTCTCACCCAAAAAAAAAAAGAATAGGTTCTCTAGGAGTCAGCACCTTCTTGAGCTGGAGAATGTCTTCTGAAGCCTACAGAAGAACCTTTCCCTGCTTCAGCATTTTCCCCTGCATCACATTTTTAGATATTCTTTATATTGTTCTGAGTCAATCTAATTTGAAATATGGTTAAATATGGATGCATCTACAAGTTGTTTAACTTACTGATCTAGTGGTAAATATAGAATGACCAAGTGCCTGAGGAATAAAAAATTAAGTCTCTCAATGGATCAGAACATGATCCACCTGTGATTCATTAGACTGCATATAATTGTCAATTGGTACCAATTATAATTGGTTGTACCTTGATCATGAATGATCTGATCTAGCTTGATTATGATCTATAAAATATATGTATTAACTAACATATATTTAGTGGTAAAGTTGGTTTTAATATTTCCTACACCAAAAGATTTAGGTTCAGGCCTCATGGAAGTCATTTTAGGTGAAAATGTAATATCAGAACCCAATCTGAATTGAACTAGTAGCATTCAAATCATTCCTGAATATGTTGAATATATAGTTGCATCATATTTGAATCTAGATTTATCCTATCTGAATTGACTTGCTTACAACCCTGGAGAGAATGTTCATCGACTTGTGGCTATGTGACAAAGATAGGGAATGGAGACGATTATAAATGTTGCTTTGAGTATGTGTTATCTTCTGGGACTTTAGAAGTCTTGTTACTAATGCAACTGGATGGACTAGGTTGTTCATTATGGTTGGGAGGTTCATGTCTATGGGAACATTGACTTGTACCTTTGGTTGGTGATGCTTTAACTCTTATCTTTTGACCAAAATGCTGTAAAACTGTCATGCACAAACATTTGGACAACTTATATCTATTTACCTCTAATTGATCCTTTTTGATTTGTCAATTCCAGTAATCTTTTCCTCTACATTGTTTTTTTTTTCTTTTTTGGATTGGACATCATTGTACTTGTAGCTTATTTTAATGATGCTTTAACTTTATTAATATTTTTTTCTTGGTTTGCTCTAACACCATCATCCACCACTTATTCCTCATTAGGTTCTTATTCCTTGTCTTCCTCAAAGTTGCTGTCACTAGAGCCTTCATCCCCTTTGTTCCTGAATTCTCTTTTTCTTCACCAGGTTACTCCACAAGGCAAGAAAATTCCCCTATAGATTCCAAATTCTTGAGATTGTAAACCTCAACATTGTTTACCACAAAAAAAGGCATTGCCTTTACTATAAAATCCCCAAAGTGGACATGACCAGACATAGGTAGAAGATTTTGCAATTTTATTCCTTCTATGCTTACATTTTACAACTTTAGAAGCTGTGATTCCAACCTTGACTTCTTTCTGTTGTTTGATATCACGGCATAAGAGACCACACTGCCAAGGATTTTTTTTTTTTTTTTAAATTATTAAGAGCTAAACCTGGATTGTCTTCCATTCTGACTTCCTTCCAACATACCAGCTGAAACCAAACCCCCCAAGATTTCCTTCTTTGATAGTCCTCTTTCTGTTGTTTGATATCACGGCATAAGAGACCACACTGCCAAGGATGATTTTTTTTTTTTTTTTAATTATTAAGAGCTAAACCTGGATTGTCTTCCATTCTGACTTCCTTCCAACATACTAGCTGAAACCAAACCCCCCAAGATTTCCTTCTTTGATAGTCCTTTAATGTGAACGTCTTTCTCAACCATTACGGTATTCCTGTATAAAACCATTTTTGCTGGAAACGGAAAAGGCCAAGAATAGTTCCCCAAACTGCTGATGCTTTTATTTAAAGGATATCAGATCCAAACAAGAATGTGCCATGACTATCCAGGCCTTGGGTTTTATTCTATTCTTCCTCCCTCCCCCTCCCCCTCCAAATGCTAATGTCCTTTTAGGTTTCTTTTTTTGTAGAAACCTGCTGCTTACAATCTTAGCATATTTTCCAGAAGGTTTAGGGTGGTTTGTTTCTTGGGGGTGATTTCCAAGAAACTGAGCCTCACAAAATAATTCCATCTTCACTTTTTTTTTGAACATGAAAGCAGAGAGAAGTGTTCTTCGTTGGGAAATTATGGAATCAATTTTGAAAATATGAAGTAGGTTCAAAATACTTTCTACCAAAAAAATGTAGATCCAAAATATGGGAAATATTCCAGAAATTAGCAACTAGCAACTTTTAAAATATTTTGAGAAAAATAATGAATGAAGTTTTTGCCGTTAACTTGCTGAAAATGCAACTCAATTATTTCAGCAAAGATGCGCTTTTAGTTTTCATGATTCCTTTTTCCTTCTATCTTATTTTTACTCAATAATCTCCTGTGTAATATTAGAAACTTGGATGTCTCCTATGATTTAACTTTTCCCATGAAAAATGATGCTGCATTTCTACAGATGAATTCGGTAATAGAATGTTTGTGCATTGTCGCCCTTTCTAGTTTTTAAGAATAGTTCTAACATATTCCCTTCCTAATGCCAATTACTGTACTATCCTCTAAGGTGTAGATCATGCTTTTTCTATGACAGGCAGCAATATTCATAGGATCATATAGGCCAAGAAGGTAGAGTACAGATTCAGTGTTTCCTGTACAGTTTCTGTGTTGATTCCATTGGGAAGGAACTGCATTCTCAGAAGCTCATAAGAAGTTAATAGTTTCAAGGTACAACAACGTTATACATTCTTTAAGAGTCTTATCAGTGCGATGATTGGGATGGAATGATATATTCTCCAAAGATCTCCTTCAGCAGCTGATGTTTCAAAGGTACAAAAACATCTTTCATCCCAAAAGTGACAATAATTGGRTTCTTCCCTCAGTGACTCACAGTGACCAAGTACACTGCACTTCTACCACTGATGTCAAGCAAGTTTACCAGAACTCGTTTCGTAGTTTTCTTCAAAGTTAGATATTCATGTATGGGTTTGATTTTGATGTCAGATAGTCCTTGGGTTAAACCTTAAGGTATATACATGAAAAAATAAACACTGGATGCTTTTGTCCCCAATAGCAAAGGATCAGCTCATACTTGGTGTGATACTAATGGAAGAAAAAACCTATGTAATTTGATCTAAATAAAGTTTGGCATTGTATTTTTATTAAAGTTGTCCAATTTTGTAGAATTGCTTATCGGCTTAAATGGACCCTTTGCTCTTGCTGAGGAAACTGACTGTTGGACAAGTACGAGTTTCGTATTTCTTTTTACATTGTTTTGTGACCTCAAGTACCTATTATTTGGGTCTTTAGCATTAAGGCAGCAACTAGGGTTTACCACAACTGAATTGCTTAAATCAATTCATTTCATCTAAACTTAAAATGCAGGAAACACTCTACTAAGTTACTTTGCCATGCTATCATGTATTAACAACTTGTGAACCGTAATCACAGTACTGAGTATCATATGAGAATCATTGAGGCTTTTAACAGCATCTGAATCTGTTATAGTTTGTAAGTGCTAACACTTTTTTTTCTTGGTTCAGTCTCCGTTTCAGCAGGCACTGGTTGCAAGCTTGGATCTTCTACCCACAAAGACGCTATCCACACATGGGGAACATCTCCCCATGAGTGGCAACTGAGATGTTCCCGATGTGTGGCTTTAGTGTTCTCTGCGTAGGCTTGTGGGTAGCAGATGCGGACTCAGTGGTTGCACTTTACTAACTAGTAAAAGAAAGGAAGTCTGGTACCAAACAAGATATGATTGTGCCATGAATCATGACTAAGCTAGCCCTACTATGAGTCATGACTAAGCTACCAAACAAATGACTCAGACCTGTTAATGCATAAATCTCTTTCTTTGCATCAAAGAAAAAAGAAATCTCTTTGTACTTTTTCCTTGTTATACTCTATCCAAGTTCTCTCGGCCTCTGGACAGGGTTAAACATCAGATTTTTCCAGGAGTGAGCTATCACTGTGGTGGAGACTCCAGACACTCAGGCTATTTTTGGTTTGAAGGAAAATGTAGGGAAAGGAAGGGAAAAATAGGGAAATCCATACAAAGGTTTGTATGGTTTGAAGGAAAAGGTAGGGAAACCTGCAGCGAGCTATCACCGTGGCGGAGACGCTAGACACTAAGGTAATGTTTTCTTTACTGCCCTGACGAGAAGAGAGAGAATAATACCCTGACGAGAAGGCAGGTTAGTCAAAACCCAGAAGTTGCCAATGGTCTAAGTTCAATGTTCCAGAACAAGATGACTTCGTTGCGTGTAATGATGAAAGTATGAAACATGGTAGTTGGAACGTTTAAAAGCGGGAATACTCTCACAGTTGGAAAACCTCCAATAACTCTTGACAAAGATCAAATCAAACACTCAACAGGCTCCACGTCTTAGAGTGTAAATAGATCAAATTTAAATCAAATCAATTAACATCCGAAGATTAGAAATTTTAATATTTTAATTCGAATTAAGAAATTTGTATGAACACAGGGAGTAATCACAGTGCCAAGCAAAAGAAGCGAAGCGCATATTGGATAAAGGAGAACAAAAAAAGAATTTCTACAATGATATAAAGTTAGTCAGAATCACCAACAGAAAAAACAATTGACCGCATCTCCAACCACCGAGAAACTGGAGACATTCGGAACTATAACTGCCAGAACTGTACTGTATCCACTGGAACTGTTACTGTTGGAACTGTAACTGTCAGAACTATAACCACCAAAACGATAACCGTCAGAATTGTAATGTAACCGCCGGTGAAATACACTCTGGAAACAGCCGTTAATGGTGAAAGCCAAAGAAGCGATAAAGGCCACCACCCAACACCAAATTCTTTAAGGAAGAGTCAACCTCTTGTATCAAAATCCCTGCATAAAAGAACAGAAAGAAAAAACAAAAGATAAAGGAGAAGAATGGGTGAAAGGAAAGAACGAGAAGTGGAACAAGAAAATCAAGGAGAGAGATGAGTGAGGGAAAGGAAGAAACGGAGAAGAGGGGGAGAGGGAGAAGAAAAGAAAGGGGGTAGGGTGGACAAAGAGAAATAACCAAGGAAACCCTGAGACGAAGACTCTTAGAGTAGAGAGAGAGAGAGAGAGAGAAAGAGAGGGAAACTCTAGAAACCCAGAGAGAGAAACTTTGGAAACCCATCTTGAATTTGGTTGAATTTCGATATTCATCGAATTGAATCAAATCATATCTGAATTCGATTCAATTATGCCCATCTTGAGTTCAGATCTTCAGATATGGTTGAGACTCTTATTTGCATCCAACTTGTTCATGTTGGCTTTAATCGAATGTGAAACTCCACTTAGATATTTAAGAATCGGAACTTCTGTGATAAAAAGAAGGTTCTTAAAATCGAAACGGACAATGGATTGTTTAGGGGTCTGGTTCCTGGGTTGAACAGTCCGACCGTATGTACCGAACGGATGGCCCATTCTGACAAAAGAAATAAAAAAAATTAAAAAACATCCAAAAACCGTTGGATGGTTCAAGCGGTTCGACCACCTGGGTCAACGGTTTATTGACAAAATCAACGTTTTTTGGCCAAAAAGACAATTTTGGGGTAAAACGGAACTGGTCACCTAGTTTTTCCAATCCGATCATCCGGTTCGGTCCGGTCTTGAAAACCATGGATAAAAAAGACAATGTTGTTTTAAGGGTGAAACCTAGGTTCAAAATTTCGATACAATGCACATCAAATTAAAGAGCTTGTCGTACAAGAAATGATGGGCTTTTGGGTTGTTTTGTCTTTTTGAGGGGGTAGACAGGTCTAAGACTGACCCCTGACTAGGGGTGGCAACGAGCCGAGCTTTTCACGAGCTTCTCATGCTCGGCTCGACTCGGTTTCAACTGAGCTCGAGCCCAATTCATTGGCTTGATTATTAAACGAGCCAAGCTCGAGCCTGCTAGAGTTCGGCTCGTGAGGCTCACGAGCTGGCTCAAATATATACTTATACATATATATATATATGATATTTAATATATGTGCACAATATATAATAAAATTATAGAAAATAATATAGATATATATAATAAAAATATTATAATTATTAATTATTATAATTCTTAAAATTTTAAATATCAAATAAAAAAAATATATATATATATATATATTTTTTTATAAAATATTTTTTCTCAAGATCGAGCTCGAGCTTATGAATTTTTTACTTGAGCCGAGCTCGAGCTCAAGCCTTGTAGAACAGTCTTGAGCCGAGCTCGAGCCTGGTACTATTCGGCTCGAATCCACCCCTACCCCTGACCACTCTTGGGAAAAAAAAAGCTAGAAAAGAAAGTTTGTGTGTATCAGTTGCATGGATACTTTAACCTGTGCCAGAATACATCCCTACAAGGGATGGATTAGCTAAATATGCATCACCTGCCAACAAAATGTCTCAACACCCTTCTAACATGATCCAACACTAACATCAAACCATGAGATTGAGATGTGCGGTGTCAAATCATGTTTGGAGGGTATTGGAATGTAATTGTTGGCAGGTGATTCAGACTCAGATTAGCCCTTACTGAATATTGACCACTAGCTGAATCAATAGGGCAAGAAGGATCAACTAAACGCAATGTCTATTGAATGGGTTGTGATACCAATGATAGTGTTCCACACCAGTAATAAAATACACGGGACCCACACCTTTCATAGATGCATTGATTACAGCCTGCTATGCAGCCATTCAGCTAATCTGAATTAGATTTAATGCATCTATCTACATTTGTACTGCACCCTTGATTATGGATAGCAATATTCCCCAACTCCTAACAATGACAGCTTCCTTCACTTCTTTGGCATGTCTTTGAGGCTAATAAGCAATAATGCATTAATGATGAACGCCCCTTGCTAAGCCTTGACCAGCAAAACAAGGTAAAAGAAGAGGGGTGCGTGGATTATAAAAATTATTTTTACCATATATATAAAAAATAAAAATATTATATATAATCTTTATTATTATACATATAAAAAATAAAAAATATATGGATAAAAGACTTAAGCCTCCTCTAAGATTTCACCTAAATACTAAGACATCCCCTAATTTTTCAAATTAAACTTAAAGGGGTGGTTTTTTTAAATCTCATTTGTCTACATGTGGTTTAAGGGGAGGCTTAAGTCTCATTTGTCTACATGTGGTTTTAAGTTTTTTTTATATTTCAATTTTGCCCTTAATATCTCTTTGATGAGATGGATAAAAGACTTTTACATCCATCATTGTTCTTCAAATTTTCTAAGAGAACAAATTGTGGCTTTACACAAGCTCACTCTCCTCTCTCTCTCTCTCTATGTGTGTGTGTGTGTGATTTTCATTTACAATAAGTGTCCAGTGCATTACACAAAAACACACCACAATGACATGAATCAATTATGTACTTTATTCATTTACAATAAATGTCTAAAAAGTACCTCAATCTGATTGGAGCTAAAGGGCAAAATTGTCTAACAACTCCCATTTGCATTTAGGTCCAATCGGGTACAAGCCGGAGTCCCATACTTTCGACGTGTTTCTCAAACACTTTATGTGCCAGTGGCTTAGTCAATGGGTCTGCTACATTTTCCGCTGATGCTACCTTCTAAATCAGGGCGTCCCCTCTTCCAACTATCTCCCGTAGTACATGGTACTTCCTCTCGATGTGCTTCAACTTCGAGTGGGGTCTGTGGCTCCTTAGCCTGAGAAATGGCTCCAATGTTGTCACACAACAATGGAATGGGTGATGTGGTGGATGGAACTAATCCTAATTCCTGAATGAACTCCTTCACCCAAACGGCCTCTTTGGTAGCTTCACTTGTGGCAATGTATTCGGCTTCGGTTATGAAATCTGCGGTGGACCCCTGTTTGTTGCTTTTTCAGCAAATGGCACACGATCCTATCGTGAAGATATAACCAGATGTAGACTTTCTATCATCTGGATCTGACTGGAAATCGACATCAGTATACCCTTGGATCTATAGTGAACTACCATCGAATACTAGACAAAATTCTTTTGTCCTTCGAAGGTATTTTATTATGTTTTTCACAGCGGTCCAATACTCCTGCCCTGTGTTAGATTGGTATCTGCTTACCACACTCACTGCCTGAGAGATGTCAGGACGAGTGCACAACATGGCATACATGATGCTCCCTGCGGCTGAGGCATAGGGAACCCCTTTCATGCCCTCAATCTCTTTGGGAGTCATGGGAGACATACCCTTAGAGATAGTGACTCCATGTTTGAAAGGAACAT